TTTCGAAACAGGATTTCTCTGTGTAACAATCCTAACTGTCCTGGAACTCACTTTGTGGGCCAGACTGGCCTTGAACTCACAGAGATCAGCCTAACTCTGCCTTACAAGTGTTAGGATTAAAGGAATACACTACCTCTGCTTAGCACTTCTCTTTTAGGATAGACAATTTGAACTGTAAATTTACCTCATGTGACTGCTTTTAACATGTCCAAGAAGTTTTGTTGTTTTCATTTAGATGCAAGAATTTTGTAATTTAAGTTTTGGATACATTCATCATTTAGTAGGGGGTAATTTGCATGAGTTTGTGTACGTACTAGAGATTGGTTTGCTGGACATTTTCAGTTTTATTGCATTATGGTGAGAGTGAGTACATGAGATTATTTCAGTTTTTCTGAATTTTTTAAGATTTGTTTTGTGTCCTAGGATATGGCCTGATTTATAGACGTTTCCATGTGGAATGTATATTCTTCAGTGTTTGGGTAGTATGTTTAGTAACTATCTTTTATGTCCATTTGATATATGATATCAATTAATTCTAATAATTGTCTTTTTATTCTTTTGTTCAGATGGGATAGTGAAATCACCTTCTATTAATGGTTATATCAACAGACGCGTTTTTAACTCTAGTTGTATACTTTTTATGTAATTTGAATGGTATATCTGTCCATCTTTTTATTGAATTCTGTTTTTAAATCCTACATTGCCTTCTGTAATTTCATTCAGCCTTATGTTTGTATTTTCTTGGGCATTCTTTAAGATGTTGTTCTCTTAAATTCCATTCTCTTTAAGTTTATTGAGCTGTTTCATTGTATCTTCTTTAAACTGGTGTTTTCTGAAGTTTATAATCTCACCCACCCCACCCCACCCCCAGGTAAATGTAGGATTGGTGGATTTGGGAGTAGACATACAGTCTTGATCTTTGACATGCTTTTTGTTTTTGTTCATAAACTTTGGCATGTGGATTTATTATGTTAGTATCTGTCAGAAAATTGGGCATAGCATGCTGATACAACACAGCTAAGCGGGAACCTTGAGGCTGACAGTTGAATATGATGCGGGAGGAACTCTGTACTAGAAGACAGGATATGCCTCCCATCTAGAGCCTGTAGCCTGTATGTTATGAGAGTACAATTGCAGCCACTGCACTGCATTAGGGACATGGGCTAGATCTGGGGATTGTGAGTGGGAGGATTGGCAGACTTACTAGGGTGGTCCCATTGCCAGATGTGTAAGACCTGACTTAGCCGGAAGGTGGTATGGCACTCAGAGGGGTGATGTCAGATGGTAGCAGGGGCCATTTGCTGTCGTACTGGATGTGCTTTCTATCCATAGCCCGTATAGGTTATGGCTAGAGCAAGCATGCACTAGGCTAGGCTCTGGATGAGCAGCTAGGACTAGGTGTGGAGACCGGGGATGGTGTGTAAAGAGAAAGGGAAGGTCAGCCAGATCCACCAGACTGGGCCCTGGAGCAAGATATGGAATACTGCCTGTTCTGAGAGGTTGTATGGAGCACTGAGAAACAGTAATTTTATTTTTCAAGACATTTATGCCTGTTTTAAATACCTTGGTATTTATAGAAGGAATAAGAATGATAAATACTGGCAAAATGACACAACCGTATTATAAATCATATAAACAGAAAAAAGAGAAGGATATGTGCAGTTCCTTCGTGGCTTATCATTTCTTGATGTCCTTTGCCAAGCTACATTCTTGAACATCACAAAGTGATGCACAAAGTCTCATTACTACCTCAGTCTGTTCGTTCCCTCAGTGGCCTGTGCCATGAAAATAAACATGAAATTCAATTCCCCAAGAAAGTACAATGCTCTGTAAATCATTCTGAGAAGTCTCAGTCTTTCACAGTGTACAACAGAGGAAAAGGCATCTACTTCTTCAATTCTTTTGTAGTAAAAGTAGCTCAGAATAGCTGATTGTATTTTCTAGATTTCTAACCCAAAAGTTTTTTAAGCCTGTTATTTGCAGCATCAGTGTCACTGAAAATGCATCATAAAATATAAACAGTGGTTTCACCTGGATGTACAGAATCTTAGAGGTCAGCAGTTGTTTATAGAAGACCTTCAGGTTGCTCTGATTTCATGGCCCCAACGTCTTTTTTAAGGGGATTATAATGTGTATATTGAGACATGGAATCAGAATGTGAAACTTAACTAAAACCTTTTTGAAGGATGTTGTTTAACTCAACAAACACAGAGCGGTCCCAGGTTACTTCCTTGAGAAAAAATGAAAGATATAACTTGAGGGGACAATCTCATGTCATCAGTGTCAGCTTTCCCCACTTGTGTTAGTTTCTGAAAGTCATCACTTTGGTGGCCTTATTTTAAAGCATCCTTAGGGGAACTTCTCTCCAATCAATGCCTCATTTGACTTCTTGAATCTCTTTTAATAGATGCTGCCCAGATATTGCCTTTTCTTCCTCCCCAAGGCATCACTGATACCTTAAACAGTGTTCTGCAATAATGGTCTTGTCTTTCTGAAGTTTCCCTGCTCATAAATGCCTGTGGTCTTATTATCCTTAAGTTCCCGTTGCTCCTGTGGAACATGGGTATTGCCAAGCCTGGTGGCAGAGTTCTGTAATCCAAACTCCTGGATTTGAGACCAAGGAAGAAAGTCACAATTTCAAGGCCTCCCTGGGATACAAAACAAGTTCAGAGCCAGCCTGTGCAACTTTGTATGATGCTGTCTCAAACAAATAAACAAGCATGGCTGTTAGCTTGCTGGATGACATGGGTTGAATTCCCACTCTTGAGCTGATAGCTCTATTTAAAGGTGAAAGACCCCAAGCGGGGGACTTTCACGGGAGGGAGACCCGAACCCAAGGAACAACGAGACCACGAGCTTGGATGCAACAGCAAGAGGCTTTATTGATAATACACGGGTACCCGGGGCATCTCAGTCTCGGGAACTGAGAGCCCCGAGCTGGGGACTCAGGGGTTCTTTTATAGCAAAAAGCGCAGTACAGAAGCGAGAAGCCTAGTTACAGTACCCTGATTGGGCAATTTAAATGAGGCTGGGGCTCAGAACGAGGGCAATTGAGGTTTTGCTTGGAACTCAAGTCTCGGCCTTGGCCCTATCTGAGGAACAATAGGTCTCTGTGCTTGCCCAACCTTGCTGGGGCTGGCTACAGCAGACACCTGTGTCCCTGGGCAGAGTTCCCTTCTGATAGTAGTGACTATTCAGCCATTCAGCCATGAGGACCTTGAGCTGAGCTCCTTTCTGATAAAAAAAAATGACTATTCAGCTGCACCAGCCTGTGTAGACTGGGCCGGGGTCTTTCAAAGGAAGATAAAAGTCCTCTGTTGATCTCTGTCACCAAAGAGCCCTGAGTAAAGGACACATAAATCTTAGCTTCTTCCTAATGTCAGGTTCCTAAAATCAGACTTTCCTTGGCTTTCTACCAGTTCCATTTCCTTTCATGTTGTTTCAAACAGCGGCCAGTCATTTTTAAAAATAAATGCCAAGATAATGTAATGCTTGTGATTGCATGGACTTTGTTTCCTTTCTGAGGGGTAGTTTCTCTTTCCATCCCTTGCTCCTCCCTGTCCCTTTCTCTCCTTCCCTCTTCTCTCTGCCTTTGTCTCTTTATGCCTCTATGCATGTGTATATTTTTAAATAAGTCACATCTTCTATCCCTACTATGAAATATGTGATTGTACATTGAACCCTGAGTACAAGGGGAAACCAGGTCACATTTAGTGTCCAGAATCTAGTAGTGTCCTTATGGGGACTAGTGAAAAATAGGGATGCTTTTATCAGTAATGGAGGGCTTTTAAAAAAAAATTTTTGCAAAATTATTTTTCCATGTCAGGTTGCCATCCCCTCCCATTTCCTTAAAGAACTTAAAGATAACAAGATACCCTTGAGAAGAGGAACATGCTATTTATGTTCTATAAAGGTAATCCCGACAGCCCTGGGCAGCTCAACTAAAGTAGAATGAAATGAAGGAGCAGTTAGAAGACCATTTCTATTGTGGGCAAGACAGCATGAGTAGAGGCAGTGGCAGCTACAGGTAGGTAGCATGAGAGTGGAGCAAGATTCAGGAACAGAGTCTTAATTCACCGTTATTTAACCACGGTATAAACTTTTGGTATGTGGGAATTAAAGATTGAGCTTTGGGGTCATTTTATTTGTTCTGGCTTATCAGCTTGACTCTGCTGATCCACAGCCATTTTCCCCCCTAGTTCTCAAGTAACCAAAGGTAAATCTAATATTCAATGCAGCTGTTGTGATCTCTCTCTCTGTCTCTCCTGACAAATCTGCTGATAATGTTTAAAGCTTTTCTGTGAAACTTTGTTTTTAGATTATGGTTATTATTGTTTGATTTCATTTTTCCTCAGCCATTCTCAGCTATAAATTTCAATAAAAACATACTGTTTGGGGATGATTTTAGGTTTTGCCACTTTGGGAGACATTTTTGTCTCAGTCAAGCAGCAGATACTTCAATTTGGATTAAGTACTTGACATCTAGTTTCCACATTGAACCTTCATTTAGTGCTTTCCATTTCCTTGTAAATGGAAAAATTCTCCCATATGTGTGATGTTTGGATATTTTCAGTATTCTCATCTAATATAAGAGTATCTGCACCTGGTTTGTAACTTAGGCGTACACAAAAGCCTGCTGTGTCCAGGTCGAGCAGAAACACCCTTGGCAGTCATAGTTGATTACAACATCGCCCAGGGCCACCTTCTGAGGTCTATGTTAGGAGAAGCAAGTGAAAAATAATTTGGCTTTTCTGACCACCGGAAGTACTTCAGAATATTTCTGGTGCGCTATGACTATGGGAGTGTATCAGTTTTAGAGCAAGAATATGAGTGTGTGTGTGTGTGTGTGTGTGTGTGTGTGTGTGTGTGTGTGTGTGCCTGCCACAGATGCTCTTGCTGATAAGGTCCCTGGAGTCAGAGCTTGATACAATGCCTGGTGTGTTGTTCATCTAATAACTATTGTTCTCTGATGGATATTATTCTGTGTTTCAACCCTTCAGAAATGCATCTTCTGCAGACACCGGGTTAAGAAGGTTTCTGGAGCTTGCATTCAGTGTTCCTATGGCCGCTGCCCAGCTTCCTTCCATGTCACATGTGCCCATGCTGCTGGGGTACTCATGGAGCCTGATGACTGGCCTTATGTGGTAAACATCACGTGCTTCAGACATAGAGGCAACTCAAATGCGGTAAGACCTGCTCTCCCATTTCTGACACTGTCTGAATTCCTTCTTGGACCCTTCATGGGTCCAAACTGTAATACAGTTGACTCTAGAGACTGAGAGCTGTTGATTACACATGGTTTCACAGAACCCTTCAGTTTCTAGTGTGCCATAAACACGATATTTAATAATTAGGTGACTGAATAAATGAGTGAGTCAAGCTATTTATATCCATTGTAGTTTTGCATCTGTGTACAGGGTATCTGAAGAGTTGTATGTAGATTGTGCAGTTCATGTATTCAGGGTGTCAGAAAATCACTTGAAGTAGAGCAGTAGGAAAAGTGCCACCTAAGATGTGCGAGCATTCTCTATGCAGCTACACTTTTATTTACTCTCTCCGAAAAGAAACAAACAGCAACAATGTTGTAAAGGGAGTAGGAAGAGGACCAGGAACTTCATTTTTTGCTCTCACTGCCTAAGATGGGTAAGTGAAAACCAACATGGAGGCCGTGGAAGGTCAGTCTTAGAAAATAAAGGTGTGGAGAGCAATTTGCCCCATCAGCATATTTGATTGTTGTACTTAAGACTGAATTTCCTCTGAATTAATTGAATTTGCATCCAGATAACATGGATTCAACTATAATTTAGTTAACCTGTTCTTGGTTAATGGAATCATTCCGCTGATTTAAAACCTTCAAAAGATTATAACAATATAGCAATTTGTATCCTAACATTCTTGTTTTGTCTCTAATACTATTTTTCTTCTCTACTTTTTTTTTTTAATGAAGTGTCTTCTATTACCTGGCAGCTTCATATCTGTAAAAAGCGTATCTATTTTGAGCAGATGCCGAATTGCCCATATTGACTTCTGGAAACATCTTTCCAACACAACAACCTTCCTGCTTTTTGTAATGATTACATCAGTTTCCACTAGTGTCTTGAGAGATATTTGGCATTTGTGGCTTGGGACTCTGTAGATGTGTGAGAATGCCCAAATGTACAAACTGATGTTACAAACTTTTTTTTTTTTTTGGTTTTTCAAGACAGGGTTTCTCTGTGGCTTTGGAGGCTGTCCTGGAACTAGCTCTTGTAGACCAGGCTGGCCTCGAACTCACAGAAATCCGCCTGCCTCTGCCTCCCGAGTGCTGGGATTAAAGGCGTGCACAAACTTTTGTTTTAACATTATTTTCCATTGTTTCAGGTTACAGATTACATAGGTTGCATCAGTGCCTTTTCCTTGGTATCTTCAGTTGATGTCCATTAGCCAAAAAGATTATATTCAGTAGTAAACACACATCAACATACCAAAAGATAGTAATAATATATTACATTACTGTGGTGCTTCGCCATTTACAGGCAGAAGTCAATATTATCACCTCTTAAATTACCCTGTATACATTTTGGGTCGTAATAAGTTTCTGACTTCTAGTGTCACAGTGATTACGACAGCTGGTGCTATAATCGTTTATGAATAATATAGACATTATTTTTCCTGTCTTAGGAATAATAAACCTCAGATTCGAGAGGTTTAGTTCCATGGAGCAGCAGGTAGAGTCATAAATGGCAGATGAATCTTCAATGTGTATACTCTAGTATTTTTTGAGTCTTTAACTCCGGATTTAAATAGTGTGTATGTGAAGTTTCGCAAGGGACCATATACCACATTTTTTGTGCAGTGTTCTATGGTTACAGGTGCTTCTACTGAGTGAGATTGGATTAAAAAGCTCCAGGGAAGCCAGGCGGTGGTGGCGTAAGCCTTAAATACAAGCACTTAGGAGGCAGAGGCAGGCGGATCTCTGTGAGTTTGAGACCAGCCTGGTCAACAAAAGCTAGTTCCAGGACAGCCTCCAAAGCCACAGAGAAACCCTGTCTCGGGGGGAAAAAAATCCAGGGAATCTGTCTCTTCTTGACCCTGGCATGTCACTTAGTCAAGCTTAGGTTGCTAACCATTTTATAAAACATGATGGGGAAAAAACACATAAGTCTTGTGAGGTGATTTAGAAACTACTATCCCACAGATCCAATTATGTGTGATATATTTGATGAGAATATGCTAGCTTAAATATTCTACATGGCTACTTCCTTATGAAGCAAAAAAAGAAAACAGAAAAGTTAAAGGGTATTTACAGTTGCCTCTGACCCTCTATTTGAAATAGAGTTCTGCTTTTTTTACTTATCCATTCTTCAAGTAGACCTCAGTTATGAATTCCTCCTTCAAAATTTGTTAACTAACTAGAATGGTTGTGATGGTTTGAATGAGAATAAAACTCAGAGACTCATATACTTGAATGTTTTATCTCCAGTTGGTGACTTTTTGGTGGAGGTATGTTACTGTGTGTGGGCTTTGGTTTCAGAAAGCCCAATGCTATCTCTAGGTGGCGCACAAGCGCGCCCCCAACCCCCTCCAGCACACCCTATCCAACACCATCTGCTTGTCTGTTGTCATAATCCTCACCATGATGATCATAGACTCTTAACCCTCTTAACTGTGATCCCCAAAATTAAATGCTTTCTTTTATAACTTGCCTTGATCATGATGCATTTTCACAGCAGTAGGGAAGTAACCATGGCATCTGGTGGCAAATTCTGTTAAAAACATTATAATTGCCTTAGGAGTTAGATTTTAGGGTGTAAACATGCTAGATGAGAGAAATTGAGAAACAACCAGCTTACCTTTCTTTTTGTCCAGAGATCCAGCAAGTCAGTGTCTGTCCACCCATCCTAAACTAAAAAGGCTTGGAATTTCTAAGTCCCACTCAACTTCTCCCTGTATATCTCTCTATCCTTCCTGAGGCCCTGTACTCTCTGGCTAATTCCTGTCAACTTGTCTCTGGTTCCACCCCCTGATCCAAAGTTAATTTTATTTACACAGTCTCAGAGTTCCACAGTGTGATCAAATATCCCTTAACAATTACCTCTCCTGAAATACATGGCTTTTCCTTTCAAATACAACACTGTTCAGATTAATTCAACCAACCTTTTGATGATGATGATGATGATGATGATGATGATGATGATGATGATGATGAATGGTAGGGTACATGCATCTTAAAGCAGAAAGTGTGATTTGTCTGTTCTCAACCATGCCTTGACTCTTTGAGATTAATGCACTAAATCATAGCCATGAAAATCTTAAGATAAAATTAGGCCTGGCTCCTGAGCTCGTTGTTTTCTATAACAAAACCTGTACAATTTAATTGAAATAAAATGTAAACGTTCTGTTATGTTACAGGGATCTCCGTTTTTATTCATAGGTTTCTGCTTCTTTTGTTTTTCAGTTCCCCCAATATTTGCTTTATATAAATATTTAAAAGAATAATCTTAAAACATTTTGTGTGTTTAGTATCATACATTATTTTAAATATAAAAGTTTGTTGTATGTCTTAGTTACTGTTCTACTGCTGTGAAGAGACTGCATGACCAAGGAAACTTATAAAAGACAGCATTTTATTGCTTGCTTAAAGTCATAGTGAAAGCATGGCATCATGTAAACAGGCGTGGGGCTGGAACAGTAACTGGGAGCTTACATCTGACCCACAGGCAGCAGGCAGAAGGAAAGGGGCGGGACAGAGAGAGACTGGGCATGGTGTTGGCCTTTGAAACCTTAAAGCCCCCCAGTGACATACTTTCTCTAACAAGTGCAAAAGAGTTTCACTAACTGGCAACCAAGCATTCAGACATGGTGGCTATTCTCATTCAAATCACCAGACCTTCTATTTCTCTCATCTATTCAAGAACTGGGTGTCCAACCTTGCCAAGCAACCCTGGGCTATGTGAGACAAAGAAGAATTGTCATAGGCCACATATTCAGTATTCAAGCACTGTGACAAGCTGATGAGCAAAACAAGTCTATTTTCAGGTTCCTGTCTGTTGTCACTGATAAGCAAAGTAAATATTTACATGTAATCCTTATTATTCAGTGCCCTTATAAAACCTTCTCATTATCAATAGGTTCAAGGTTTGCAGTTACTAGTAAAAAATTGAATGTATCCCAGTAATGAAAGTTAAGGATTTCAAATGTTTTCAAATCTTAATTAAAAGACGGCATCACTTCCCTCCCTTTCCCTTCCTTTTTCCAGCTGCTACTATCACCCCTCTAGCCCCTTCCTCTCAAATTCATAACCTCATTTCTTTATTAGCGTGTGCACGTGTGTGCATGTGTGTATACGTTATGGTGAGTCCATTTAGTATTACTTGTGTATGTATCACTTGTGCATGTGATTTCAGGACTGACCACTTGGTATTTAATAACCAATCAGAGTCTCGTTGCTGGGGAAGATGAACTCTTTCTAAGAGGTCATTGGTCCTGTAATTCTTTGTCTATGAGTGGGTTCCTCTTCCACATTGGCATGACTGTTGGTGTTATACTTCCTTCAAGTCTTATAGGCAGCCACACAGTTCCAGTATCATGGAACTACCATATTTAGGACATACAATCTCACAGCTGGTTTCCTGGTCCTCTGGCTGTTACAGTCTTTCATTCCCTTCTGCCCTAATGTTCCCTGACTCATAGAAGTTACATTGTAAGAATTCTAATTAGAACTGGCATTCCCTGATCAGTTGATGTCTGCATTTTGACCAGTTATAATGGTCTCCATTTGTTGCTAAGAGTTTAGTTTATAAAGACTTACAACTATATTTATCTGTGGGTATAAAGTTTAAAATACAGTTGGTTTATGAAAGTGGGTAGTAGCTTCTCCTTACTAGTCCCAACTACCTGGGGCCTGTGAGGAGTAACAGGCATGATTTTCTTCTGTTGAGCAGTTTTGTCACAAACATATGAATGCCACTATTATGCCCTTAGATTTCTTACTGTGCTGGCCGTAGTGGCAGGCATCACAGCTGGGTCGATCTATTTGTTTCTTTCTCTTGAAGTTTACATAAATCCTTCTGTTACTATAAAAGATTGATTTTAGGAAGAAGATTTTTCAAGTCAGATCCAGCTTGGATCTTCCAAGTCCTGTGTCCCAAGTTTGTGTTGTCTTCAGCTTTAAGATGTAATCAGGGGCAACAGTAATAGGCTATAT